TGTGCTTGCCTGGAAGTATTGCTAATCGTTCAACGTGATCTTCAAGTTTGCTGAAATTAGCAGCGGTATTGTAAAACGCGGTGAGGTTAGTTACTTTTAGAGAGCCTCGTAGTTAGAGTCTTGTCTTTAGTTTCTTTTCAGGTCATTATTTTTATTTGACCGCCGAGTTGGCGCAGTTTGTGAGCGTCAAGAGCACGCACTTGTAATTTATTACGTTGAATAAAAAGGGACTTAAACCCTTAACAAGACTCTGTCTTTTATCCAGTTTCCGCAGTCACCTCTTGGTTGCGTGCAAGTTGGAGGCGCGCAACGCTATAAGGTAAACTGGGAATTTCATGAGAAACAAGAGGTTCTTTTACTGTTTGAGGCCTGAACCTATCACAAATTAGGCATTTAGAAATCATATTCTCAATGTCACTGTTGATTTCTGGCCAAAATAGTACTTGTCGAGCCCTAGCTTTTGATTTTTCAATCCCACAGTGAGCTTCATGCAATAATGTTAACATATACTTTGTTAATGCAACAGGTACTACAATTCGATTATTAAAAAAAACTAAATCTTGTTCAACACTCAACTCATTTTTAAATTTAAAATAAGATCTTGCTTCTTTAAGAACTTTATCAACACTCAAAGGCCATCCATTTTGCCAATATTCTTTCACTAGCATTAACCCTTCATCTTCTAATGTAGCTTTCTGAAATTCCCTTTTCTTACTCTCAGACATTTGCAGTTGTTTTGTTAGTGTATGAACAATCTCTTCATATCCATGTTTTCATTCGTGTCTGTATATTTAAAGGAAAGTGACAGTAAATCTGCAATATACATATATTTCCCAGGCAAATATTTAAGTTTTAAGTTATATTTTAAGAGCTTAATTTTTATCCTCTGCAATCTATTTGACAACACGTTAGCAATATTTTGTTTTATAATTAAAACTATGGTTTATGATCAGTAAGCACTTCTACCTCTCTACCATAAATGTAATAGTGAAATTTATTAGCAGCAAATAAAATACTAAGAAATTCTTTCTCAATCTGAGCATAGTTTTTTTTCTGCATTATTTAAACTCCGAGACGAAAAAGCAATCGGTTGCCCATTCTGCAATAAGCAGCAGCCTAACCCATCTTTAGAACTATCTGCCGGTATGTTATAGGTTTACTGCTATCAAATATTCCTAACACAGGTGCATTGGAAATTAATTTTTTTTTTAATTCCCTGAATGCTTAGAATGTAGCTGTAACCACTGCCATTCTACTTTGTTTTTCAAAAGTTCCCTTAATATGGCTGTTTTCTCTGAAAAATGTGGTACAAATTTCCTCAAATAATTACACATTCCCAAAACACGCTGAAATTCATGCTTATTCTGAGGTTCCTGTAATTCAGTAATGGCTTTAATTCGATCAGGATCAGGTCGCATGCCTGACGCATTAAATAAATGACCTAAATATTTAACCTCACTAACCCTATATTGAAGTTTTTGCTTGTTGAATTTAATATTGAGCTTTTTAGCTCTGTTGATGACCTCTGTTAAAATTTTTATCATGTTCTTGGATAGTGCTAGCAGCAATGAGGATGTCATCAAAATAGACCAATACTTCTGGTATAATCACCAAAGTTTTTCAAGATTGCGTTTTCTGAGAAATTTCAGGTGCACAGGAAATGCCCATTGGAAGCCTTAAGAAATTTATAGCATCCAAATGGTGTGCTAAAAAATACAAAGATCACTACTATTTCCATCTAACGCTATTTGAAAAAAACCCATCCTTTAAGTCTAAACAGAGTAAATTGATTTATTACATAGCTTTGGTAAAATCTCCTCAATTGTTGGAATCAACACATGTTCTCTTTTTTATAGCTTTGTTAAGATCTTGAGGATCAAGGCATATTCTTAAGGATCCATTAGCTTTTTTCAATTATTACTAGATTGCTAACCCAGTTCAAAGGTTGATCAACTTTTGCAATAATGCCCTGTCTCTCTAATTCGCTTAATTTTAATTCAAGTTTAGGTTTTAAACTAAGTGGTACTCTACGTGGTGGTCTCACTACAGGAGCTATCTGATCATCAACCATGATTTTACACAATCCATTAAATTTTCCCACACCTTCAAACACTTCTGAATTATAATAATAATAAATTGATCTTATGGAAACAGATGGAGGTAAAACAAATGTATACTGATCCAACTTACCTTTAATTGATATTCCAACCTTATGTATAAACTGAATTAAATTAAGTTTAACACATGCATCAATTCCTAATAATGGACGTATATGCTTGCTAGAAACCAATTAAAAACTCTAAGAGTATGATTCCATCACCATCTGAGGAACATTGTAACATTAACGACCCATCAGGTTTAACCTTGGACCTTCCCCAAAATGCTTCTAATACAACATTACACTTGTTTATAAAATAAGATTAAGAGTTCTTAGCACTCAGCGTGTTTCGTAAGTTTTCACAGGCAAAATATTCACTTCAGACCCTGTGTCCAACTTAAAAGGTCACAGTTGTCCCTTCAACAATTATAGTTTTAGTCCACTCTTTTGTAGATGATGTTGAGCATACACTTTTAGTTTTTTGGACATTTATCGAATTCACAAAGAATTCATCATCAGATTCACTATACACATCTCTATTATCATGCTGAGAAGCATTTTGGACATGTTTCAGTCTGCACATAGTCGAAAAGTGATTAAGTTTGCCACAACTAAGGCATCTTTTTCCATATGCCGGACACTGTCCCTTAACGTGATGTCCATGTAATGTCATGTCTTTTACTCAAAAACATCTCGGTATTCTGAAGTGTCATCACGACATCCTCTGTGCTTCCTCACTGCTATGGCTGCATTGGCTCCTTCTGTCCGATGTTGTTGATTCACTTTTCCTCTAGTTACGCTGTCAACACTGTGTTCTCTTAAAGTTTGAGCACGAGCTTTGCTCAATTCAGCTGCTTTCCCTAATTCAATTGCTTTTTCCAAACTCAGATTATTTTCTCGCAGCATCCTCTCCTGTAAACTGGCGTTGCCACATATATGTAACAGTGTCCGCTCTGACCACGAAATCGTTTGTGTCCGATCTCACCACGTCCGCTGCAGACACACCACCCAAAAAAATCTGTTTTATTTTGTAAAATGTTCCCACTACTCGATTACTATTAAATCACAAGCTATTATATTGCCAATTATTACTCAAATCATAGTTAATAATCATTGTTAATAAAATAATTTTAAGTTTTATAAAGTATGAAATAAAAAATAAATAAATATATGAAAATCTGAAAGCTTTGAGATTTTATATTTCGCCCAAAGGGGCTTTTGGTTTTAATGTTTTGTATGTTACCTTCATTTATTAAATACCATATTCGTCACACTTAAACCATAAAATTTAGTTCAACAGAAATATTACAAAATATTTAAAAAGAGCATATCTTAACAAAAGATGTAAGATTTGCATTCACATTATCTTAACGCACTAGTTTTCTTATTTAGAATTTCAGTAAGAGCTGTAAATCAGTTACCTGAACGTATGATCAGATGATACTTTTAATAATGTGTAAAAGATCGAAATCTTTGCATATACCACAAATAAAGCTTTTTTTTTTATTCATGTTATTATTATTATTATTATTTTTTGCTATTGTAAATCAGAAACTATTTTATCAGCTCTAAAGAGTAATTTTAGAATTTATGAGGAATTACAAAGAATTACAGTTTAGCTTTTGTAATAACAAAAATAATCGAAAGAGATCGGATTGCATGAACATTCCGATCTCCTTCGATTATTTTTTGTAGAAATATAGCAAGTGCTTACTCGACTGATATCAGAATTAGGAGAGCAGACTTCCACGTTGATGATTTCGTGTTCGAAGGCCAAATACGAGACACGTGTATTTGTAAGATTGTATATATACATACAGTCATACATAATATCATACAGTCTTCTATAGTTTTAATCTTCGACAGCTTTCTAGATTTAGGACGCCGAAGTATCCAGTGTATCCAGTCAAACATTACAGAATGCCTAATCAGCAAGTCGTTGGTTTCATATTTAAATAAAACAAATAATCCTCTTGTTTGTTTTGCTATAAGTCTGTTGTTTTCAGATTTCATTCTATCAGAATATTGCCTGGAAAACTATGTATCAAACTACGACTGAAATTTGGCTCACAAATTCCTGCCTTCCCAAACTTCAGTTACTTCTTCACGGGTTCGTTGACCTTAAATTAGAGGCTCTGATACAAGAGTAGGTACTACAAATTTTATGCATATATTGAGACAAACAAGTTACGATACAACAAAGAAAGTAGTGGGCAAAGCTAGTGTTTACCTAAGTTTGGATTTTAATCTTACATTCCTCAATTAAATTAATAATTCATAAAAGTAACTTATTTATAAAAAAATCTATTAATCAAGCACTAGATATAGTGGAGCTTCTTGAGAAAAACCACCCAAGGTTCCAGAAAAATTTTAGTTCGGAGCGGTGTTTGTTCTAGACAGATGATGCTCAGTACCAAAGTTCTAGTAAATAAATAATAATTATTATTAAAAGTCAATGTCTTAAAATGTAGTCACCACACCACCACACATTTTATTATATATTTTTTACATACATACCCACATTATACATTTTTCAACAAGCTTGCATGATATAGACGATGTAGTTAACAATAAATTTTCAAAAATATTTTAATGCTTTTATTGCTTACAAAATGATACGTGAAAGACGCGTCATATCTTTATAGTAAGTCTTTTATAGAAGGCAACAAGGAAACTTAAGCAGTTTCCTCTTAAGCAGTTTTTATATTTACATATTAGAATAAATAGGCTGTTAGATGTTATTATTTGATACATTGCAATATATAACTGCATTAAAACTGGCGTTGCGGTATTCTAAATAATGTAATCACAAACCTGAGCACCGATATCAGTAAATGTTTTGAATTTTCAACTATAAAGTTTGTTAGAAATTACTAAACAGTTTCCAGGATCAGAAACTTACCTTTGCACAAAATCATCGTTTTCGTTGAACACTTTGTAGCGACGAGCTTTTCCAGGCATGAAGAAATTTGAAATTTGAATCAGTGAGAACAAGGGTTAATTCCATATAATTATCACCATTTTGCAGATTCACAGCATTAATTGAAAACTAAAAAAATTTGCATTTAGGAATTAATGCACAAACATTTACTCAGCAAATATTGCTCTTGTATGTCTCACATTTTCAGCCACTGACTTCTTCGGGAGTGTTGCAACCATATGTGCCCTACATATTGTCAATATTAAGTCAGGTGTTCCATTACATCTACCATTACCTTATTTATTAGTTGCCTGTTGCACTGATATCAGAAGTTGGATAAAGTCTTAGAAGGGGTGTGCAAACAAAACGGATACTCAGAAGATATTATTAAGAGATATGCTCCTTTAAGCAGCTGTCACTCTTGGAATATCTTTCCTTGGCTAAGGTGCATAGACATTGTTTTAGACTGGTAGCTGCAGTGCTTTTTCCACATAAAGAGTCTAATAAAACGTTCTCATTTATAAAATACGGTTACCTAATATAACGACGACCTTAGGAAATTTTACATAACGCTTTTCGGGGCTTATAACATTGGAATAACAACTGTGATATTACTTAAATATATATATATATAATATTGAATATATTAAAATATAAAAATATAATTTATTAAAAAAACTAAAATATAAATTATTAAACCAATTCTGAAAGCTTTCAAATTTTATATTACGCCCAAAGGGGTGTTTTTTAAGGTTTTAAATATTACCTTTATTTATTAAATATCATGTTCTTCTCATTTAAACCATAAAATTTAACAACAGCAATATCACAAAATAATTTTAGAATGAGCCTATCTTTAGAATTTCCGATACACAGTCTCGAGCGTTGGAGATAATTTTTTTTCCCGTGGCTCGCTTTGAAATCGTTGAGTTTGTTAATAAAAAATTCAATTAAGTGTTACAAAATATGAAATAGATAATAAAGCAAGTTTCAAATTCCAAATTAGGCCTTCCAGATACCCATACTGGGTCGAAGATTACTTTATTCAAAACTGAATGGCTCTAGGTACCGTTGTTGTCTCACAATGCAAGAAACATGCATACATTTATGCCGCTTCTTCATTATTTAATTTCTTTAAATATAATACAAGACAGATGATAATATTTAGTGGCAACAATTTGAAAAGGGAATCGAACATTTATAGTGAATTAAAGCAAATTGCCAAAACGAAAGTAACAGTCCTTCAGGGAAAATTGCCTCTTTGGGCTACAAAGTATAACAATTATGCTGACCATGTTCTTTCTTTAAGAAAACTTCATTATTTCAGGAAGTAAGTTAAATTTCATATTTTGTAGCCATTGGATTGAATAATTTTTACTCTCAAGAACAGTTTGTAAAAATGCATATTAGTGTGGATACATAAAATTATGTATTTCTTGCTCTAAAAGCAAACATTTTAACCGATAAACTCTCGAAATAGTTATTTCAGTGAGCTGTTCCTTTATATTTACTATAGAATGGACGATTGTCCTGTTTGATTATTACTGATGATATGACTAAAGCTTATTACTATAATATATACACTTCAATATATTTAATCTCATCGATTACCTCTGTCAAAGAAGTTCAGGTCAAATAATTGCACAAACTTACATTGAAAAGCAACGTTTTTTTTAGCCCAAAGGGGTGTTAGTCCAGAAGGTCTATTAGTCTCGAAACGGCTTCGAGTCGGTTCACTGTAAATCGTGAAGGTTAGAACACATGGAGTAAGCCTTCTCCGTATATGAAAATGAAGCCACGAAACGTCACGGTATGGCGTCACCTCTTATCATGGCCGCTGCCATAAGCGGACTTTGTTTGCATTCTAATCGGCGTTGTTTGCATGTTGACTATTCGTCATTGAACGTTTATAAGTCTTCCATTCAAATTTTAATACATAACATAAAAAATTTTCCACTCAGTATATAAGAAAAATCACAAGGATTGCAAATAACTTTTTCAAATTAATTAAAATCTAGGTACATGAAAATGTATACATGATAACTATACCACAAATACATACATGGTGAAACCTAGAAAATCACTGGAACTTTCAATGTTTTTTATGCAAATTATGCCTAAAAACACTTTTCTGAGCCTCCGGGAGTTGATATTTGCTTTCGAATTCAGTGTAATTATATTTAGCAATATGTTTCGTAGTCTTAAGCCGTACGCTGCATAGCGGCCATGATAAGACTTAACCGTGTGTCTCACTTTTCAAATTGTTGTCACTAAATATTATCACCCTGTATTAATTTTAAAGAAATTAAATAATTAAGAATCTGCATGAATATATGCATGAATATATGTATGTTTCATGCATATATGTATGAATATATGCATGAATATATGTATGTTTGTTTCGTAGTCTTAAGCCGTACGCTGCATAGCGGCCATGATCAGACTTAAGCGTGTGTCTCACTTTTCAAATTGTTGTCACTAAATATTATCGCCCTGTATTAATTTTAAAGAAATTAAATAATTAAGAATCTGCATGAATATATGTATGTTTCTCTCTTGTGAAAAAACAACGGTACCTAGAGTTATCAAATTCTGAATAACATAGTCCTCCACTAAAATATGTGCACCTAGAAGCCCGACTTTTGGAAAAGTCTAATTTGTTTTATTGTCTATTTCATATTTTTTAAAACTTTAACGAATCTTTGTTTAACAAACCCAACGATTTCAAAGCGAACAGTGACAACACTGTACGAAAAAAAAAAAAAACATTTTTATCTCCAGCGCGGGAGATTATCTATCAGAGCTTCTAAACATATGCTGTTTTTAAATATTTTTATACCAAATGCTCTCGAAACGTGCATGTGTGTGTAAATGGGAAAAGAGCTCCTTTGGACATAATATAAAATCAGAAAGCTTTCAGATTTCCATAAATATTTCAAATCATTTTCTACCGAAGTTCATGCAATCTGCAAACAGAAAGTAGAATTTATACAGAGGATTTTCTGGAATCTGCCCCGTGATTGTATCACCGATTACGATTAGTGTTTCTTTCTTCACGATTAGTGTTTCTGGAATATGTAAGTTTTTATTTTTATTTTTTTTTTTTTTTAAATCTCCCTGATTAGTGTGAATACATAAAACCGGCGCTTAAAAGTATCTGGACAGATCTGTTATCTCGTAGTGATTTAGAAATTTCATAGTCGTTTGAAATCAAATCTTGTAATAATTCAGGTTTGATATTCGAATATTCCGCTGATTTCATCAGTTAAAGCTTAAATATTTATGGTAGAATAAGAAGGGCATCTGTTTTTAAGAGTGATATTAATAACTGCAAAATCCTTCTAGGGGTTACTTTTCGCTAAAGTATAAATTAAAAGCCTTTCTATCTTTAAGGGTTGCACTTTTAAAGCTTTGAAGGGTTGTTTTAAGTCTTTTTCAGATTTCTGTGAGCATCAAGTAACATCAATGCACTTAACCGTTTAGAATCATTTTCCACTTGTACACGAGTATTCTGAAGTAAAGTAGTGTAATTTTGTACATAGTTTTGTGACATAAATATAGAAGACGTCACAGCTTCTTTATCAGAACTTTGAATAAATTCGGCCTTTTTTGACGGTTTAATTTCCGGTGTATTTTTATTCCTTATCGTGGGGCAAAATAATGTATTATGCTGCAAATTCTGGCATATTTTACAAGGTTCTCTTCTTACTTCACACGGCGAAATTAAACGTATATTAACCAAACGTTTATAATAAAGTCCCTCTTTTTACTTCCTTGTACGAAGTAAAAAAGGAGGTATTGTAATCGCGAAAAGTTTCAGGCAGCATATTTCAAAGAAAATAGCCTTTTACCGCATCGAATTTAACGTTTTTGGCGTGATATCTGTACGTAAGACAAAGACTCGTTTCCTCTAAAAAAATTTAAAAAAACTGCTTTAAATGAATTCTGAAGAAATTTTTTCGTGGTGTCGATGAACGTATATACGTACGTATGTACTATCTCGCATTACTCGAAAACGAGTAGCTTCAGAACGTTGAAATTTTGTATATAGGACTGCTATAGCATGTAATGTGCACCTCGTATTTGTTGAATCGCCGCACCAAAGTATATAATATATTTATATATATCCAGTCTGTTACCTGGCTCATGATCTCAGTTTTCTTTACTCTTATATGTTTGTAAATTGTACATTTTGTGATTTAAAAATTATTGATTAATGTTGTTCTTATCTTCCGGTTAAGGTTTTTATGACTTTAGTAAACCTATATGCAATATTTTTAGACTTATCAACAATTTTAAAGCTGTTTAAGTGCCGCTAAGCCTAGTATTTTTCTTGATGGCGGCCATTACTTGTTTACATTTGAAACTCATATTCACAAAGCCTACAGACCTTTTGTACTATGGTGTGCTCCGATTGATTAAAACAGGAAGCGTAGGGTTACGATCTTGGCTTGGTTTTTGCGTCCCCGTCTAATTTGTGTATGAGCGTGGTGTATCAAAACGCGTTGATGTAAAAATAGCGCATTCTGGAATAAAATATAATATTAGTCGGGAGCTGTACTCTAGTAATAATATTAGTCAGACTTAAAGAAAAACGAAGATATCCGACACCCTTAAAAGTTTTTTGAATGTTTTCATTTGGTTTATGTTGTGTATTGATTTATTTTACCATATTCCTCTGCTATGTTTAGAAATGGTTTAGTTTAGACTTAACCATTTCTAAACAAGGCATAACTCTTGTTTGTATGCTGTAAAAGTTATGTATTTTCCTTTCGTTATACATTTTCTTTGGGGATGCCTAAATTACAAAAAACATCAAATTCATACAGTGTAAACGCTCGTCTTTCTAAGCAACATATACAGTCAAAAGTCGTTAATTCGGACACCCATAATCTGGAATGATCTATAATCCGGACCTCAAAGCTACAAACTTTCTGCGCATGCGTATAGGCGTTTACGCAAGCGCATAATACCTTTACGCGTGCGCGTTTAATGTATAACGGACGGTATAAGCTAAAATTATCTAATTATCTATTTCAGTTAATGTTGCAGATTGCGTTGTTCCTTAATCTTCGAAATGGATCCGGCTTATTATTTTTTGCAGACTGTTAGAGCAATTTTTATAAAGTAAGCTTGACTTTCAATATGTCAAATAGAATTT